TTTAATCTCCCTTACGAAGTTCCCTGTCTCTCCTGTTCTGTCCGTCTTGGACATACCCTGTGGCTCAGACTTATTACTACTACTCTTTGTCTTCAACCACTCTTGTTTTGGACGGGATTTGAGCTCCCGAAGTTGTCAAACGGAAAAGGGATCAAATATTCCTGGATCTAGGTGAGGAGATCAGCTGTAAAGGCGCCTCATCCCAGCTCCTTTATTATTATTCTCTTTTAAAATTGTGAATAATATTGGGTGCCCGTGAAAATTCTGGCCGCATTCACCTTGTCCTCCCTCCTTACCACCGTTTGATTCTTCACTCAACGCCAATTTACCTAATCTTTTATACATTCTTATTATGCCTTAGCTACTCTGGACCTCGCTGACACCCTGTTTTCTCCAGTTCTTTCACTTCCAATACTTTTCAGTTCCTCTCTCGACTTCCCTAGTTGGCCGGTGTATTTATCCTATAATCCCCTTCTAATTCTACCCACCGCATCAAAACTGAACCCTATACATACGGTCAGAAAACTTTGGCAGCTGAAATTCTTACTACAACGTCTATCAAATACGATACAATTTAATACCGACATTAAAACGTCTTCGCAGACATAACCTTTCTTCCCTTCGAGGTACTTCTACCATGCAGCAGCCCGGCTCAAAACTACCTAATATGAATGCCGATGCCACAGGCTTCTCCCACGGAGCTTACGCCTCCAATAATCTAGATTTTGGAGACCGCAACTCCCGCAGAGTAAATATCCCTTCAATCAACACGGGCGTGAATGGCCAGAACTCTGGGGATATGACTGCTCCAGGAACGGCGGGTTTTGATATGAGTCTCACCCCATTACTCCCTTCCCAGCTCCTCCTTGGAAGCCCATTCCAACCCGGCACACCGTGTGCCTTCGCCTCTCCTCAATTCTCTGGATTCCAGAGCTTCCCCCAAGCCAACGGTACGAACCAAAATCAGCAGAACCAGATAGGAAGCCCTACCCTGGCCCATCAGAATGCCCTCTCGCCGCAGCTTTACCAAAGTTTGATACCCTCAGATAGCTTCAATGCTTCTCAACTCATTGGTGGCCCTCAATCCCCAGTTGGTTCTTTTCCTGGATTTGCGAATGCGGCTTTTGGGGCTGCTAATGTTGCCTTTCAGGGCCCAATTATTTCGGGAACGAGCCGCACCGTTTATTTGGGAAACCTTCCCCCGGAAACATCGGCAGAGGAAATTCTAGGCCATGTTCGTAGTGGCCAGATTGAATCTGTACGGTTGCTTCCAGACAAGAACTGTGCTTTTATATCTTTCCTGGAGAGCAGCTCTGCAACTCACTTTCACTCTGATGCAATTTTGAAGAAACTCGCTATCAAAGGAAATGATATCAAAATTGGTTGGGGTAAGCCTTCCCAGGTACCAACATCTGTGTCTTTGGCCGTTCAGCAATCTGGTGCCTCTCGAAACGTGTACCTTGGAAACCTTGCCGAGGACGTCACAGAAGAAGAATTGCGTGAAGATCTTGGCAAGTTTGGTCCCATTGATACGATTAAGATTGTCAAAGAGAAATCTATTGGATTCGTTCATTTCTTGTCGATCAGCAATGCAATCAAGGCCGTTACACAACTACCGCAGGAGCCGAAATGGCAAGCACCGAAGCGTGTGTACTATGGCAAGGATCGCTGCGCCTATGTCTCCAAGACCCAACAGCAAAATGCTGCTCAGTATCTAGGCATTGCTCCAGGTTACGCGCACATTCTCAACTCTGCCGATCGCGACCTCATCTCCAACGCTTTGGCTCAGCAATCCGTCGCAGCAGCAGCAGTTGCAACCACCGCTGGTGGTGTGAACAACCTTGGAAACAGAACAGTGTATCTTGGAAATATCCACCCGGAAACAACCATCGAGGAGATCTGTAATGTTGTGCGAGGCGGGCTTCTACATCACATCCGCTACATACCCGACAAACACATCTGTTTTGTCACCTTCATCGATCCGACATCTGCTGCATCCTTCTATGCGCTTAGCAACTTGCAGGGCTTGATGATCCATAACCGGAGACTCAAGATTGGCTGGGGTAAGCATTCCGGTGCTCTTCCCCCTGCCATTGCCCTGGCAGTCAGTGGCGGGGCATCCCGAAACGTTTACATCGGTAATTTGGATGAAACCTGGACCGAGGAACGGCTTCGGCAAGATTTCTCTTCCTATGGTGAAATCGAACTGGTTAACGCCTTGCGTGAAAAGAGCTGTGCTTTCGTCAACTTCACCAACATTGCCAATGCCATCAAGGCGATAGAGGCAATGCGCAGTCGGGACGAATACAAGCGGTTCAAAATCAATTTCGGTAAGGATCGTTGCGGCAACCCTCCCCGCCAGATCAACGCCAATGGCGAGCAGAGCCGCGGTGATGGCAATCAGTCTTCCCCCACAAGGAATGGGAATTTTCAAAATGGTGGATCGCAATCTAGCCCCATCGGTGGTCCAGCAGTTCCACAGGCACCAGGGTCATCAGGATCGCACTCCCAAAATGGTCATCATAACCGACAAATCCCTCTCGCCGCAACGCCCTCCGCCATCCTAAATGCCGGCAGCAATAACCCCCTAACTCTTTATCTAAACCAAATCTCTCAACAGCAATCCCAAGAACATGAGAATCGTCTCAATGACCACCTAGCCCTCGCAACCCTGCAACATCAACAGCAACAGGCCCTCGCTCACCAACAAGCAACCCTCTACAACAATGCCACTGGATCAAACGACTTGCCAAATGGCCACCGCACAGTGCACCAATCCAAGGGATCTATCACCACCCACGGTGGTCTCTTGAGCGTTTCCAATGGCGCCCCCAGCACCAGCAACGGCAATACGCTCAACGTCCCACGAGCCCAACACTCACGCGCCGTCAGTCTCCCTTCGTTCACGCAGGAGGTCTTTGGTGTTGGTCAGGGCTCGGGTTCGGGTCAGCAACCACAGCGCGGTGGGATGGGTCATCATCAGCCTCAGGGGAGCTTTTCGGGTTTTGTCAGTGGACTGGGCGGGCTGAGTCATAGTGGATTTGGATTGGTGATTGCGAACGAAGGGTCGCTGCCTGGATGGGCGGAGGAGGAGATTGGGGCGAAGTGAAGGGGAGTGCTCAGTGGTTGTTCCTTTTCATTTTTATGTCAATTTTTTACTTTTTCTTTTTTTCTTCCCTTTTCCTTTCTTTTCCCCCCCCTTCTCTTTTTCTTTTCTTTTCTTTTGCATTTAATTTTCAGGTTTTGGTTTGCACCTAATTATTTAACTACACCCAATTTTTAAAACTCTCTTTCATTCATGTATTGGTTTATAAGTATTTTTGTTTAAAATTTTTGATTACTTTTTTCTTAATTTTTCTGGTGATGCGGTTGGGAGCGACTGTATCATGTTTCTTTTTATTATAGCACTTTCATTTCCTTGTATCGCCCGATGCGATTCTGGTTTGTCTGGCTCTGATTCACCAGCACAGCCCTTGTGCTAGCGTGTTAGAAGCTGAAAGGCAAGAAAGAGTGAAATCGAACCTCGTGAACAAGTTGGCTACCTCCCTCTGGTTTTTTATTTTTATTTATTTATTTATTTATTTTCATTCCATTTGCACAACATTTTGTTTACTATGAATCTCTCTCTTTTTTTGTAACCGCTGTTTTGCCTTTGAGAATACTCCAACATTTGTTCAACTTCCTCATCTTTGCATTTCTGTTTGAATTTTCCTCGCGTGTTCTGCTTTCTTATATATCTGCCCCTATTCTATTCCATTTTACGAAGCCGCATTTGAGAGTTTATTTAATTATTACACTTTCTCTTTTCATTTATATTATTTGTAATTGTGTTTTTGCTGGTTATATTTTGTCTAACTCACTCACTTTTTATTTGTACAGCATTTGTCCTCCTCCTCCTCCTCCTCCTCCTTATCATCATCATCATCATCATCATCAGAATCATATCATTGTGGTATATTTGAATGGCTTGCATAATTTTCAGCGGAGGTTAGTATGTGATGGAAAGATGCAGGAGAGAAGAGGTAAAGCCCAAGCAATGAATGGGAGCAAGTGACGGAGTATAGTGTGTTTTCCAGGTTGCACACCATGAGAAGGTTGGTTAGATGAATAGATAAGATAGTTGAAGGGTTGAATTTACCGCCATTTCCCCCTTGGAGCCTCACTTAGCACGTCTCCACTGTTTCTATCATTCCTTGTAAATAACAGTTACTGAAACAAATGTAACCTGGTCGAATGATATCTCAGCAAAAGCTTACTTCTGGCTGGTTTTCATTTACATTGGTCTGCTTCAAGTACTGTAGGTGTGTTCTTTCAGGAAATAATTTCTCTCTTTGGCGGGAGTCTGAGTTAAGGTTTGATATCATGTGACAGGTCAAAAATCTTAATGTCATTGCAATCTACATAAAACAACATCTCAAAAGCAAAACATCTCAAGCTCATTCAACTTCACTCTCCAAGACAAATCACTCTAAGTCCTGTGACTTGCATCTTCTCATTGAACTCGTGATATAGTCATCTATTTTATTGTACTTGTATGAATGACACATATCATACACAATCAAAGCAATCATCATCATCACAACACACGAATCCTCCCCAACCCCAAACAGCTATATTCAGGTATCAAGCTTGAATATACGTCCAAAACAAACGGAGAGAACCCCTTTCTGATCTCATTATACCCCATATGCAACAGAGTGGTCTCTCGTCTGAAATCCACTTCAAGGCAGCTCGGAAGTCCTTCACTATTTCCCGCGATATTGGTTTCCCGCGATATTTACGCCCATTAAAGCCATTGGGAATTTCTGTTCACAAGTGTTGTTTCGCGCTTTTAAAACACCCCCCTGCAGGAGGAGCGGATGCGTGTGCACAACGCGGCGTATTCAGATCGCAAATAGCACAGTAGTATTGCCACTCTGAGAAGTGGATAGGAGAGGGGTGAGAAGTGGTTTTGCGAACGGATTTTTGCATATCCTGACGTACTGGGAGCCAGAGGGAGAATGCCGTTGCCTCCGGAGCATATTCGGATTAAGAGGGGGAGGGAGGAGGAGCCGGTTGAGACGTTGTGTAAGTGTTCCTTATCCTTTTACTTTGCCTTGAAAGAATCTGGTCTCTTGGTTCCCTTTCTAAGATTTTTTTTGGTGCTATTGTTGTATTATTTCTGGGTTGCCTCGAGCTTGGGAAATGCATTCCGAGCAGTTGGCTGGTGCTTACCAGTGACTCTAATTTCACCTTGGAGTTCCTTGTCTACAGTATTTCTTCTAACTCTCATCAACAGATATCCAGACTGACATACGTCAGTCCAAAAGGCGGTATACCGATTTTGTCTTTCAACGTGTTGTCCGCACAGATGGCGCCACTGCTTGCAAAATTGATGATAGCGGGCCATTACGAGCATCTCTAGGGGGAAATATTAAGAGCCCTAGGTCAGTAAGTACATGTGTGTCTAGTCATGGTGTGCCCCTGGTACGTGCTACAGCTCCCGGAGAGGAGTTTGAAAACAAACAAGTCAAATCAAAAAAGGAAGGTCTTATGGGGGAAGGTCGGCTGCCTTCAACCTCATCTCCACAATCAGCATCACGAGCCACTCGTCCTGCCGTGAAATCTGTCACTCCTTTGCGAAATCAATCAGCTTCCTCTTCAGCCAAAAACTCTCCCTCCTCTGCTTTGCGTCGGTTTCACATAACTGCCCCTAATGAGGATGCTACGAGCCCTTCTTCAAATGTACTTCACAAGGTCTCTGGAGGCATCCATAAGAAGAAAGGGGATCGATTGATGAGTAGGGTTGTGGTTATCGAGAAGCGTTCACATCAAGTAGATGATGCGAGGGCGTCTACTGTCATTGATGATCTGGCAGCTAAGATTGAGGAAGTTAAAGTCGGTAACGACTTCAAGGAGCCGCCATCTGCGGTTCCTGGGGATGTTGTCAAGCCATCAGTACCCGAAGCGGCTACCAAACAGGTTACCCCAAGAAAACGGCATGTTGCTAATGAGGCCGAAAAACGATGGAGGGAGGATTCGAAAGCATCTCGATATTCAGACCGAATACAGCAAGCCCGAGAAAAAGATACTAAAACAAAACACGCCCAGTCAATGTTTGACGATCCAACCTTATGGGATCAGAACTCTGATCAGCTGGCATCGGAGCTGGAGGAGTTTGCTCGCGAAGTGACCGGAGATATCGATGTATCTGGGGCTTCACATAAACCTGAGTCATCCATTTTATCTACCCCACCACGACAACCAGGCCGGTTTGTTGGAATTTCTCCCAACCAGCGCGTGCCGTATCACCCACGGCGTCTAACAGGAGAACGTAATTCACCTCGAAAAATCGGTATGCGCTTTGATGGAGCTGGGGACGATAATGACAAAGATCTTAACAAAGATGTTGACCGATCTGCAGACATTGTAGACGGCGGATTGCTTCACCAGGACGCTGACGCGGACATGACGACGGAAGGCAACTATGTTCCACCAGTTAAGCACACGGCGACTTTTGAAACGGCTATCGAATTAGAGAGTGGAGATGATGTGGATTACGTTTATGACGAGTTTATCAGACGACCGGTGCAGGAGATCGCAGCAGACCCTCGAGCTGCCCACCTTCTTAAGGGAGAATGGGCTAGTGAACACGGAGTTGCTCCTAGAGATATTGGAGTGGTAGTTATTACCGAGGAAGATGTCCATTTCTGGGAAGCTTTTGAGGAGCCTGATGATGAGGGGAAAGGCTGGGATTCGGAAGATGAAGATTCTAACGGTATGTTATTGTACAACACCCTCTTTCCCCTTCTTAGCTACGTTGTCATTTTCCCGACTTCCACTGCATAGCTTTTTTCTTATATCTTTCTCTAACGCCTAACCTCTGGTGCCACAGCGGAAGATAATCCAGCAAATGAATATCCGGACGAGGACCTCGAGTTCGATGATGAGTATGATGATACCAGTGCCGCTTACAGGAATTATCGCCTCAATGCCTCCGACGACGAAGAGTTTGATCCGGATTATGACTACGAGTATAGACGTTCTTTCGACAAACCAGAATTCTGATGACGATGAATACTAGGATACGGAGCGGGTTTCATGATTTTAGGTTGCTGGTCACATTTGTCTCAGTTAACTACGTGACTAGGTATGATACAGGTACAATGGCATTTCAGTGGGCGTGAAGGAATTTTCTCTTTTTGTGCTTACGGGTGGCGAAAATGTTATATCCCCTAGGCTATATCTAGTATTTTTAAGTGTTGCATAGCCTTCTTTTGTACTTTTGTAATTGTTCAAGTTTTTGAAATCCATCTCAACATGTTTGTGGAATCAAGGGATAACCTAAGAGAGAAGCTGTCTAGATACCTTTTGTGAGATTTGTGATGCTCTCAAGCCACATGTTTTTGTGAATGATGGGGTTTATTTAAATTAAATTACATGACATGAAAGATTTGCCTGGCAACATCTTCAATGCAACTTATAGTCTGGGGGCCAAAAGCGCACTCTTCAAATGCCATCTCGAGCCGTAAATCCTTTTTTCCCCATTAGGTATATATGATGGTTAAATGAAAATTCGATAAACCAGACGGGCTTCGTTGCAAAAAAAAAGAAAAACAGAACTTCGGATTCCTCTCAACTTTCTCTAACCCGTCTCCGTAGTCATATTGTTTTTTTGTCACATTAGAGTATTCTACTACATATTCTCCGCCGATCTGCCTTGAGAGCCATACATGGAATCATGAGAGCATACTTTCTCGATCTGTTTCTTCAAATAATTAGCCAAACACCCGCTTAACGACGCAACTATCAGGCAGTTGTCAACTTCACATGCACAAAAAGTGAGTAAGCTCAGCCAGGGTTTGTCGCAGGAGATCTCCGATAGATCAGCCCACAACCGAGGTTCTGACCAGTCAGTTGGCCCGCAGAAATATGAGGAAAAAAGTAAAATAAATGGCAAGTCTGCTAGTGTTACGTTTGAGCCTAATTTATTATTTATACGAGTTTTCGACATAATATTTTAGTCCGTCTTTAACTCAGATCTAGTCTGGGCTGGTAACCAGATACTAAATGGTTAACTACTTTTTGAAAAATTTAGCTCTTTTTGCCCAGCAAGTCTTCACAATTAGTTGCAACAGAAAAAGAATTCTCAAAGTTGCTACCCCTGGAACAAAAGGAAAGTGAGCAAGATATACAAAATGCAGAATTCGTGATTGTTGAAGACTAGTTACGTATGCAACCTCCTGCATTTCACTATCCTTCATGCATGAGAAAAGAGTTTGCTGAATGAATGCATCACACCCGCAACTAAACATGCAACCCAGCAATAGGTATGCATATGTACCCGCAATGGCATTTATTGAAGAGAAGAAGGCTTGTACGTTCCCAAATGCCTAAACGGCCCTTCTCCCTAATAGCTCTCCAGGCTGCTATCCACGATACGTCTATAGCTAGATCTGCTTTAGCCAGGCCTCCCCACATCCACCCTATATTGGAGGGTGAGTTGAGAGACTGGGGATAAAGCTGTAGAAGATCACAATCCTTCTCAACATGTTGAAAACTTTGATGTCTGTCCGTTGGGGACTAAGATATCTGCACCATTCTCTCTCCACGCATGCGGAAAGTTAGGATTTTGTTTAACCAACCCCTGTACCCCTCCATATACAAATAACCCTGGAAATTTGAACACTCAACTGGCATCGAAATGCCGCCAACACCTGTTGGGGGAAGTCATTCAGCTCAGTCAGCTATATAGCCCTCTAGCCCGTATGGGCCACGAAGAAGGTAAAAGGAAGGGGAAGAAGCGCTTGCCGCCCCCCCAACAGTCCCCAGTTCCCACATCTCTGTTGTGGTGAACATCCATCTTCTCAGTCCTTTCGGGGGCATAAAAAGGCTTGCTGCATGCATAGAGACGTCATAACGGACCCTCAAGCAGAATCTCTCTCTACACAGCGGAGCAGGCTCATTTTGCAAAGAAGGTGTAGGGTAGCATTCGAGAATGCAGTGTATCCGAGCGAATAGACAGGGTAGGAGGAGGAGGTGGTGGTGGTTCTCAGTGACAAGGGGATGGGAGAGTCGATACTAAAAAAAGTTCGGCATTGCTGGGCTGGACTGGATGGGCAATAAAATACCTCAGAATATTTTGCTCTCTGGTGATGAGTGTATCTCTCTTGAACTAACTACTCGTCGCCCAAGCTGCATGCTGGGTATTCAAGGCGTTTTCTCTCGAGGAACTAGATGCTATTTATAGATTAAATCCGACAGCAAGGAACTAATGTGTTCGGATGCGCTAGATTGCAAAAATTGAGTTGGGTCTTAATTGTTTTTGTGCTAGTTATAATAAGTTTGCAGGGACATGGAAAGTCTTAGGGCTACAACTAAAACACGTACTTGTTGATTCAGCAAATTGTTAGCTGTCGTTAGTTTTCTAGTTAGCTAGATCGTGATACATCCCGAGCTGTTGAATAATCAAACCGGTTTAGAACAAAACCTAAACTTTTCCTTTCTTTGTTGACCCCACATCTTATCTTCGTTTCTTTGTCACGATCGTAAGAGAGTTGGAAGCAATCTGCCGAGTACATGAACTACCAACTTTATAAGCATTGGAAAAGGGGGGGTGAATTGAATGACATAATAGGAGTTGACACAGAACAGGACTTGAGAGCATGCAGTCAATATACGTTGGTCATGAGTACAAGAGTGAGAATCTGGCTGGTTTCTAGGTAGAAATGAACCATCAAGGACAAATGTATGTATGTTACTGTACGTCCGTCCAATTGCTGCTCGGTGGTTATACATAGTTGGGCATAAAAATCAGCCTGCTTATGGTGTCCACACTGGAATTCTATGTCGTCTTCAACGGGTGAGTATGATTGAAACAAATATGGCTGAATGTAGATGCAGAAAGACAGAACAGGTGGATCATGTATGAAGGTACGTTAAAAAAAAAAAAAAAAAATCGCTAACTTTATATATACAAAAATGAAGTGGTGGTATATAAACATGATATGAAACAGGGAAGAATAAAAGGAGGAGAATAGAAAGTCGTTGAAAAAGCAAAAAGAGGACATCAACCTTCAAAAAAGGCGGGAGATGGGGGAAGGACAGCGTTTTTGCCACGCTGTGGGTATTGGATAGCAGTTAATTTACTGTCTAGTCCCTATCCCGCATCCCCTCGGATGTACCATCTATCACCCGTTGTATTGTGACGCCAGGCCCAAGTCCGTTAAACTCAGTAATCAGGGTGGAATCAAAACAAAAGGAATCTTTATATAAGGACGGGGAGGGTGACGATGAGTACCGTGGATGTATGACTATCAAGCCAGCGCAGCGGTCAGATGGACGAAACGAAGTGGCTCTGGGGGTCCAAAAGGCCACGAATAGCGGTGTCCTCCGATGACTGAAAATATGCAAGAGGAAACAAAGGGCAAAGGTAGGCGAAGCGTTCGCCTGCCTTTGTCCGTAGAGAAGGGAGAGGTAAACCATATGCCGTAAAATTCCCCTTTCCAGGGCTTCATGATTTGGTATCAGAATTACCTGAATACTCTCTCATCCAAGTGAATCTTGCTTCCGTCCATTTAATAACTCCATATTGCGGCAAATCTTCACTGAAGTCGCCCTTGCTGTTCCCGTCACTCCCGCTGCTCGCGTTTTCACTGCCTATTCCGCCATTTCCACCATCACCACTACTTCGTTTGCGTCGTTGTTCCCGTAGCGTGGGAACATTCTTCTCCTTGATGAATCTGTAATATTTACATTGGATCCCCTGAAACCCTTTCCGTTGGCGGTCGGGAAACTGGGCGTTAAAGTTTTTGCGAACCTCTTTCCACTCCTGCCTTAGATCGACGCGATGGTACCAGATGAAATACATTTCTTCCTCGTCGTATTTGGGCCGTGGCGGACGCCTTCGTTCCACAACTGTGGACAAGCCACTCGAAACAGATGGAAATCGTTCTCTTGGGTAGAGCCCAGGTGAGGAGGTGGCAGAGCCGGAGTACGAAGGTTGGTGCTGATCTAAAAATCCTCCCATCTGTCTTTCTATGGATTGGGCATTGGTAAGATTTTGATGTGAGTGGTGATGTGATTGTTGATAAGGTAGACCTGAGTAGTGTTGATTTTGTTGGTGATAGGAATAGTAGGAGCGGTGTGGGAGAGGAGAAGCTGCAGAGATGGAGGAGGATTCAGAGTTATTCTGAGATGGATTCAACAGAGCGCCGATGGATATGCGTGAGAATTGAGATTTGGAGTATAGCGGACCTTGTTGGCCGTCCTCCATGTTGGCTCCTGGTCGCCTAGATTAGACCAAGGCTGGTAGAGTTGTTCTTCAGCCTGTACTAGAACCCAGAGCTAGATAAGAACGGATTTTTCTGAGGCGAATTGTCGGCCCACGAGTAAACTACCGTAGTGAAGTATTCAGAATACTCAACACTCTCCCCACGAAGCTTCGTAGGGGACTTAAAAAATAGACGATCTTTGCCAGCGTAGGTTTGGCCAAGGTTAATTATTGGCGACCTCCAGCCAATCTCAATCGATGTCAGTGAAGGAGTACTCTATCCGAGAAACAAGTAAAACCTCGAGTCTATCTAGAGAATAAGATAGTTCTCGGCGCAGGGCAACAGAAGAATTAGATAATGTAACTGATGTAGTAGAAATCCACCAAGGGTGGTAGTTGAGCAAGTATATACTTCCCCCCGAGGTCGATATCCGAGATGAGTATTTAAAGGATGACAGGGCAAGGCAGAGGACTGGAATCTATTCTTCTTCGTTCAAGAATATTTAATGGATTTCTTTTCTTTTCTTTTCTTTTCTTTTCTTTTTTTTTTTCTTTTTTTTTTTTTTTTTTTTTTTTTTGTTATCTGGAATATGCTGAATTAACTTAAAGGATGGAAAGTAGAATAAAGTAATAATCTTGAGAGTAGTCGGGAAAAACTCGTATGAATATTAAGTTGAAATAAGAATAGAGGTATTTGGCAGCGGAGTGGGATTCGACTATATTTATAGTCCGTATCGGGATTCAAGGCAGAAGAACTTCATGCAGGTTAAAAATAATTTTAAAAAAAATAAAAAATAAAAAATAAAAAATAAGAAGAGTTTGGACAAGAGGATGCAGAGAGAGGGAGGGAATCGAGGGGCGCGGCACGTTTTTAATATGAATAATAACTTATTACTATTCGTCTCCGCTGCGCTTCTTTCTGTGCTTAATCCCGTAATATTAATACATGTGGTCCAGGCTTTGTTTCTTTTTATTTTTTTTTATTCATGAGCCCTAAACAGTGTGGATGAAGCCCAAGCAGCCCTTTGCAGACCAGGGAGATCAGGAGCTAGCAGGAAGCGCAATGGGTCGTCTGAAATGAGGTCCCGATGCGACGGGAATGAGCACATGTACCTTGTTCTGATACAATAATCACGCCTGGTAATATTTGCATCTGCAGCCAACAAACGAAGAGTTCATCCCGCAGGTATTTTTATAGTATACGGGAAATACTTTTGAAAAAGGCCATCCATAATCCTTGATGCTTCCAAAGTTTGGCGATATCTGACACCCGTCATCGCCCACAACCAAACCGCCCCCCTTAAAACTAAAACCCCCTCCCGAAAGCTAGGTTCCTGTAACGAATACAAGCTGACAGGAGGGACCACAGATGGCTAGTGGAGAGGATGACGCAATGAAATTTGGGCCTATTTCTGCCTGTTGAATGGTCAGCGCGTATCACGGCACAGCAAGCAGGAAGAGGAGCGAACACTATCCTAGTCACCGCCAGCTCTCCTGCTTGGTGCACCTGGGCTATTTTGCAGCGGGGTCCAACTTTTCCTGTTATTTCCATATTTTTAGATTCTGGCACTCCCCGTACCGGACCGTATTATTTGTGAACGGAGGAGGGATGGAGCGAAAGACCGCTGCTGTAGCGCTGCCTGGGGACCGGGTGAAAGTAACTTGTCCGCAAATTTCAAAGAACGGAGTGTCCGTTAGGTTCTCAGAAGAAAAAAAATCCAGCGATCGATCAGCAAGCCAATCAGACGTGGGGCGCGGCGTCAGCTCGGTTGGATTTAAGGCAAAATGCCCAATGAGGCTCCAAAAGCCCTCTAAAAAGAAACGCAAAAATGAGGCTACGGTATTGAGATGTGAGAATTAAAGAGGAGTAATTTAAAAAAAAAAAAAGAAAAGAAAAGAAAAGAAAAGATAATAAGAAATAAAAAAACAAATCGCGTTTCCGTACAGTTTCGCTTGTTTATAAATTACGCAGCAAGCGCGGTTCCTCGTCGTATGTTTAACCCAAGTCTGGATAAGAGGCTCGTCGGGGGGGTTTGCCTGGCAAGTTCTTGGTTATTGGCGTAGCATGCAACAAACCCTGCAGAGGCTGAGGAGGTTTGGACCATCTGCGGTCTTGTGAAGGCCCAAATCACACGCGCGCCCATGATCTCTCGACACATTATGGTTGGACGTATTTTTATTTTATATATATTTATATTTATATATTTTTTTCATTTTTGCGCCCTGGCGATTTTGAATTCCGTGTTGTCCGGCCTGTCTGATGGATACAAAGAGTAGAAAGTTGTTCATTAATACGGAGAATAAAATATTCCGGTTCAGACCAATAACCCGGAACCAAATGAAAAAAAAAAAAAATGAGAACCCGGTACATCAAAGACAACGATAGGTATGCAATAAGTTTAGCCAAACCCTCTCTAGTGAATTTGTTAGATCTTCAGGACAAACCTTGTGCAGTTCTCCGTGCATACAAGGCAACGGCTGGAAACCCTCACGCAGTGACGCATTCATAATTATGTTGCAGCTATCTTACAATCTACGTTCCTTCATTTGCAGATCAGGAACCACGCCGCCACGAGAAATAACCCGGAAACCAGGCCAGACAACAGATTCTGGCTTTGGTTTCTTTTTTTTTTCTCCTGTCTGACTGAGTGCGACAAGAGAACCATGCCCAAGAGAAAACCTTGGTCTCCATTGCTTCCTAAAATCCGAAGTTCCAGACGTTGCAGTGGGGGCACAATATTAGATATTCTGCATACGTATATTCCAACATCGTTTTCCTTGGGTCGCAACGACATGTGAAGGGCCCAGAGACCCCATCTGCATACTCCGCTCCGGCTGCTCCCTCCTGTCTGTTTTTAGTTTATTTTTTATTTTTTTTTATTTTGAGAAGGAATGGAACTGTCCAAGTTACCAAGCCTCGAACTCTGCTCCAGTTTTTCTGTGCCGAATCATATTAGCCTGGGCTCTATTATTGACGAAACATGGAACCAATTCTGAGGGATTATGGGACCCTGTTAGCATGGACAGCGGGACCGTTAGCTGACAAATTATCAATACTTTCTTCCCCATCGTCTGTCCTTCTTGATAGCAAACAAAGAGCCCAAGCCTCCTGGAGGCGATTATATACTTCCTGTGTTCGCTTGCCTGAGGAGTTTAATTTCAGTGAAGTGATTACGTAGTTACTGCTGAGCTAGCGAGGAACAAGGTTCGCCAACTTACTTAGATAGCTTAGAAGGGTACGATGGGTCAGGGGATGAAGATAAATTGGGGAAATTGGATTGAAGAACTTGGGTTTATTCAGTTTCTAGAAAAAGTCTTTGGTTTAACTGCTGCATATTATCTATCAGTGGGCGTTTTGGGTGGATATTTTGCACGAAGGAAAGAAATAAGAAGCCTTCCTGGGGTATTTAGGCACTATTTGCACCATCGTCACGTTGGATACGGAGGCCTAGAAAGATATTCACGGAACTTGAGTGGATGAGGAAAGATAGAGGGAGATTTTGGGGGTATTGTCGGGATATTTAATGGGTGGACCCTATCAAACGCACGGCGAAAGGTTGCGGTTCTTTGGGTAGATTTTCTTGTCAACTGACAAGCATGGGAAGATGTGGTTCGGCTCCAGTGATCTTTTGCCGCATACGGATAGTGGAATCGCGGGCAGTGGTTCCCGGAAAGGGTTTTGATAAGAGGAGTGTGTTTGCAAATTTTGAATGCGAAGGGGATTAAATCAAAATTTCCGCTGCATGAAGATAAGATAGAGTTTCCTGGAACAATAAGCAAATATAACCAGATGTACACACACATACTGGACATCACATCGGGATACATAGCACACGACTCGCTTGCAGAGCCCGCATAAAGGCCCCTTTGGTACGTAAATGGGATTCCACCTGCCACTTGACTTCATATTCCGGAAATGAAAATTTCCTTGCCCATTTCCTTTGTCCAGGGCTCTGTTGCCACGCCTCTTTTTTTTTTTTTTTTTTTTTTTTTTTTTTTTTTTTTCCTCTCTCTCTGTGGGTCTTCTCTTTCCGTAACCCTTGGCGGTGTAATTGGCTGTCCATTGAAGGAATCCTATCATAAAAGTTATTTTGATTCATGGCATCGTAAAAGGTGCACAGGAGGAAATGATCGTAGGAGGAGGGACCGTGGAGTTAAAAATTGAAGGCGGAGCAATCCTGGTCCTGAAAATCCGAACCGTAGTCATGAATTAGGGAGGATCGAAATACGAGAGTGGACCACACGACGGCGTGAAAGCACCAAAACACATCAAGAGAGGTTGAATAGATGAGGAGAAATGGCAGAGAGTTCTCTCCACTTGTTCTACGGATCCAGCAAAGTCATTATGATAAATTGTAACCGTGCATTATAGTTGAGCGCATACTCACTTAGATTGGCATACCATTCGATCACACGGAAAATTCATAGCGTATGGATGGCAGAAAACTGGTCCATCACTCACTCACAAGCACTTCATCGCAAAGCCAGAGAAAAGAAATATATGGCAAATCTGCAGGCAAGTCGCAGCAGGTTTTAATTTGTGGTTAATAAATGACAGGCTCGTGACACATGGCATTAGCTGCCGTTCGCTGATCAACTTTAACCCATTCAGTTAACTAACGCCCAACCTAATTTGTTGGGCGGTTTTATGAGGAAACGTAGTCCATTAAGGGAAAGGAGAAAACCTGTTGCGTGTCACAGTGAGATCTGGTAATCTACACCGCTCCCTGGTCCAGAAGATGGGTTCATTTTAGGTTTTGGGTGTTGATTCGGAGCCAGGTTGCCTCACAAAGAGTTTGTGACGAATTTATCAGTATTTCTTCGAGTAGTAGCGAGCTACCTCTGGGCTCAAGATACGTGTTGTCGGGCTTGGCGGATGCCAGACAATGTTTCTCACCTCCGAGGAGAAAACAAGGAGGCAAATAGCGGTTGTTCAAGGACAAGGACAAGGATAAAGGATCATGGTATTTCTTTATCTTTATCCCTTTTTGTTCCATTCTTGCTCCGTTGTTTTCTCTGTGTGGGACGGATTCTCATAAACTGTGGATTATTTTGGTCGAAAGGTCAATCATGGTGTTGCTTGAGAGCCACAGATTATTGGAAATAGGAACAAGACAAGAAAGCTGAATCGAATCCAGCCCAGAAGTAGATCACATGGAACCACCAGAATTTTCGCACTTCCAACGGCTATTGGTGATAATAAATCGTCGGAGTGTTGGTCCTGATACTTCGATATGTCGGAAAATGACTTCTTGTTTGCATGGGGAAAACAGAGCGAAAACGGCACGGATGGGCGCCACATATTGCAGCAGAGAGCAGATTAGAGGCTTGGGGGGCAAAGTGTGCAGAATTTCTCAAGAATGGGGATACTTATTGCAGCCAATAGCCTTGAAATATCACAATCATGCCAAACAAAATCTCAACAGCGCAACGGGGTCAGCGTGCATGTCGTTTTCTTTCTTTCTTTCTTTCTTTTTTTTTTTTTCTTTTCTTTTTTACAACCTTCTGCCTGCCCAGGCGGCTGTGCCTTTGAGAAGTCGCGGTGAACTCCACCGACGAACGTACCATGAATGCCCTACAATGTCAACCCCACGCCTTTCACGCCTTTCATGGAGTGACGATGCACAAGAACGGGCCCTTCCCAACGTAGGACGCTACCGTCGGTAGGCAACAGAAGAACACGAAGAACCACCGCTGTTGGCAGAGCAATACACAGCTCTGATTGGCTCGGTGAATCCCTGTCTGTGCGAGTTCCAAGTTTGGGAGCTAGTGGGGCCTTACCGCGTCTCTGGGACGCTGCAGCCAACCAGGAGACACTGGACCGGGGGATGCAAGCTGCTGTGAATGGCACGCGGCGCTAAACCCAAAAGCGCATGTCTGGATCAAGATCAGGCGGCACGTAGCTATAGCCTGGCGGTCAAAGCAGTCTGCCGCGCGACTAGCACCACAGTCTTAGCCCATCTGCTGCTGCCCAGGCGTACAGGTCTCCGAAGGTAAGCCCTGAAGAATCTCTGGCGCGTAATTTTCCCCCGTACTAAACGTAAATTCCAGTATGGCGCTACTTTCAAGATGCATCGTTTTGAGTCCGTACTGCGTAATGAAATGCGAAATTTGCAAATACCACCCAAATCACCCAAAGGTTGAGGATCAGGGATTCAATAAAAAAAAAATAAAAAACATTTGCACAAACTTCGTAGGTGTGACAAACGCGCGAACCTTAAAGGAGCACCGAAAATTAGACTTCTAGATCGGCGACCTGACAGGCTTCCGCTTATCGAGTCTGAAACTCACTCATAATCGAGTCACAACTCAAGACTGATGACTCCGCAGTGGACGGGGAAGCCATAACTGTTGAATGCTGCCACTTCAGACACAGCCTTGCAGCGGATCCAGGGGTGATGGGGAATAAAGACGTGATATATATCAAGAAGTCTGGATTGAGATCAATTCGATGGAACCGGCGGTTTGAACCTATAGTGTTCCATCCGTTGATGGAGGGGGTGATGGATAGCCGATGTTCAAAATTGCCTAGACACAAAGAAAGATATTTCTTATCGTGTCCCTCCCCATAACTATATCAGGTTTTGAAAAATTGACTCCTTGCTTTGAGCTAGGATCAGCACGTTTTTGTTCGATCTCATTTTGAGAAGTTATGGCTAGCAGCTCTAGGCGTAAGCGGCTTCTTTGAGAGGCAACAAAAGGGCTTATGAAAACAATGAACTAAAGGCTCCAGTTGAAGCTTTAAGGATGATAAGAAAAGAAACCTTCTGCTCCTCCAAAAAATGACACAAAGTTCGGGTTCTGCCTTCGTGAAGTTCAACCCCTCGCGACTTTGTATGTACTGTCCACGGGTATAGCACATGCCCAAGTGCTTACTAAAATGATAGCAAGAATCCAACAAGCAAATCTGTTGATACCCTCGACATTGAAATCAGGGATGAACCAATTCTTTTACTAGGTTGTTCTTATCCTGGTGGACAATAGTGGAGACCATGTCCCATGAAACAAACACTGTGATATTCCCTCAATAATAATGAGACGAAGAGCTGACTGACTCCTTGGAAGCCAGCTGCGTCCCTTGCAGTATGTTCTATTCAAATTCAAAGACAAAACGCCGAAGTTATGCTTGATTCTCCGTGCATTGCTGCATGATATGCGGACAACGGTCTCAAACTTGCAGGAATGGTCTCGGAATGGTCTCGGAAAGGCTGCCATGACAAGACTGCTGCAGACCTTCCACGTCCTCAATTTGATGGGCCAGTATCACTGATGTTGTTCCCCGCTTTAGGGGATACAACAGAGGTCCAGAGGCGGGGAGCCCAGGGCCACAAGCAGAGTGCCTTAGTAGTTAGTATTGACTTGTGGACTGTGGTGGGTTGGTTTCTAGCAGGGAAAATAAAAAGTCCCCCTTTCAGTGCCAACATTGAAAGATTCCACCACCCTGCCCCTGTGACAACGGTCTAAATGTTGGACGGACATACCTCACACACAACATAGGATCCAGAGAGCGGGACAATCTATTCGTTCCTGTCTTGGAGGGTGTGTTCTGCAACTCTTTTCAAGGGGAAACAATTTCCGCAGGTCAAACAGGATGTCATCATCCAGGGAGACATTAACAGGTTTCTCAAGCTATCCCTAAGTCAAACGGTGCATTATTGGTAGCCAAAATGAGGGGTTGTTCGGGAGTTATTGGTTCTGGCCAAACCACCTGTTACCTGCCCATCACGACCTGGTCGCATCTTCTGGTCCGCCTGCAGAAGGATGTTGGTGAGGTTTAATCTCTTGCATGATTCTGCATCCTATTCTCTCCCGAGCTTGATTAACTAATTACTGTAGTTATAGTTGTAGAGAGAACTTCAGCCATTAACAATCTGTCCGTTGAATACTCCGTCGGCTAAACTAACTCGCACTTCATGGATTACAGATGAACTTGCCCCATCAGAGACATACCTCATTTGATACTATAAATACCCCATACCTCCGGAGTACATATACAACCTTTCGATCCACTTCAAACTTCAGCCGTTCCAACTCTCGATGCCCCGACGTGAAACTCCGGGCATAAAATTTTCAGCTCTCTGTATGCATAACTAGATCCGGCGTTCAAAGCTATTGAAAACTATTTATAAACAGCAGAGTATCATCATTCGTATGCACATTCTACTGACTCTCCTTAAGACCCGACATTGAAAACCTTCCCTCTTCCCTGCAGGACCGTGTGTCAGCAAGTTAGACTAACTACGTTAACCAGTTAAACTGGTTAACAACTACTGCTACAGCAGGGTACCCAATCACGTGCCTCCATATATAGTTTATCAGCTAATTAGCTAGTTTCTCACACAACAATGTTTTCCTCCATGAGCTACAGTAATTAGTTTGAGGGGGCTGGTGCCAACCAGAAGATCGGAGAGAAAGGACAAAGGCTAAAAAAGCCATCAGTTTTGCGTTGACAAAAATTTCGCCCTGATATCTACGGCTTACCGAGGAAGCTTTAGGTTTCTTCATGCCTTCCAGATAGATTCCGAATGCGGAGTGCCAAGGTTCCACCTGAATACAAAGGCGATCATCAAAAGCGCCACGATATATTCAGTCCTTTTGTTATATCCGTCAAACTTTATCTTTAATGCGAATAATATTAAGAGAAGGTAAATAACATATCATGAAGAGCCTCGGAAAACTACTCTTTTTTTTTTTTTTTTTTTTTTTTTTTTTTCTCTTTTTGATCGACTTGCTCAAAATGGAAAATGAAATGACCCGTGTTAACAGAATCTAGGATCATATTGGCCCCAAGGGGCTGAGTGATTATAAACCTAAAAATTGATATATTAGCTTCGGTTTCTAAAATAATAACTATATTCAAGTGAAGATAATTGAAAACGCTAACATTTAGCTTACTTAAACAACTCCCTCAAAGTGAAGTCTTTTCCCTTATTTTTTCCGTATTTTTATTTTTTTATTTTTTTACCACTTATTAATTTAGGTTTTGCTGACTGTTTATATTGCAATGCCTCTATATCTTTGCTGGGTTCAATCTTCAGATGAATTCTGGCTGTTCCGCCCTCGGCATCGTCATTATCAGGGTTGAAAGGATCGTTTCGTTCCGACTAGCTGCTGACTACCGCTGGATATATGCAACATGAAGCGGATTTTAGGTTTGTCTCAATATCTTCATGTCAGAATTGAGTTTCTTCGTTTGCTTCTTCGAACCCTGGCTGAAGACTTAATACGAGAAGCCCTCATGTTATGCTCAACCTAGCGTTTAAGTATGGAACGCTAGAACGTAATAAAACATGGAAGAAATCCAAAATTCCGTCACTTCTCGGAATTTGATATATGTACCCAATGACAGTCCTATTTTAACGCCAAATCTTGCAAAATTGATTAATAACGCACGTATTTTTAAACCTCCGTGGATGTACTGCACTTTATCATCCAAATACGGGGCTGCAAAAATACGAGACAACCCGAAAATTACACCAAGCGCATTTTTGCTCTTCTGCCCTCCACTTAGCTTCCATCTGGTCAAATGCAAGGGCCATAAATATGATTATTTATAAAACCGGAACTTCTCTCCAAGCTTCGAACTTTGAAATGTACTTGTCGGCAAACAAAATAGAGAATGCGCTATATTGTCTTCAGCATTATTACGTTGTGCAGCTGCAAAAGCTGCATAATAACGCCTGCGCGGTTACTTGAGATAGACGCGCAACTTGAAATTTTACGCTGTTGACACCCGTTGGCGTGTTAATTCCTGTGGGTTAGAATTGGGGCATACACATGGTAGTAAATATGTCATCAAAAGGGGATACGTTGCCTTGCAGCTTACCTCTGATATCGTCGCAGATTCCTGAAAAAAAGGTTTCCTGATTAGGTCCTTGAATTTAAGCCGCAAAATTCAACAAAAGAAGTATTTGAAGTTTGACCATTGGCTATTCTTCCCACGACTAAATCTGGCTATTTTTCATAGTTGCGTTCGGGGTTCCGATCTGGGGATAGGTACATTCATACCATACATAAATTGGGGGAAATCCTGGGCGTTTATTTGGAGATTCGGTATCGATTGCACTTAGTGGTCAACAGATTTAGCGCGAAGGATCGACACGCCAACTTTCATTGTTATAGGAAAAAAAAAAAAAAAGAAGAACCAAGGGCAGGAAATGCCTGCAACCAGGATTATCCAGAGGCATTTCATTGGACAGCTCCTCCGATCCAACATTGGGTTGAGCACCATACTGGCTAGAAAAAGCACAATGGCGGCGTCATTAAGACTAAATTGAGTCGACATGAATGGAGTAGAGTTGCAGAGCGATATGTCACAATTTGTGAATTATGAAGATTGAGGTGTTGAATGATATGCACCATTTTCAACTCGGGAGGAGTTCGATATTTGGTAGCTAATGCACACCAGTTGCTAGGCGCGAGGATTCGGCATATCAAAAAGAGCCTCATCAGGTTGACCCGGTGTGGAGCTGTCTGTTATGATTCGACTATGTCTGTCCTTGTAAGAGAGCTGATATGCTGTCGCGATTCCATTGGTTTTTGAGCGACGAATTGTAACAGCGGGGCCTTATGTAATGAAGGACGCAGGACGCTGAGAAAATCAATAGGCAAGAGAAAATCGCAGTCAAATAGTCCCCAAACGCTGGTCACAATGTCGCCCAAAGATAGTTTAGGGGTAATATATTCAAAAATGGATCGGAAGCACAAAATATGTCACATGACTGGGATGATGTTCTGTGGGATGGTTGAATCTCTCTCATATTGGGAGGCCTATCGCCCAACAAGTTCATCTTTCTTCAGAGGCTAGGGTGGAGTTGCAAACTGGATATTACATTTTTGTAGTTTCCACTAAGTTCCGTTTTACTCCCTCATTTTGCTTCAGTGCTCACTTCATTCATCCATTGATGCTTGATATTGTGTGTTTCTTTGTTTGTTCTTTTTCGTCTTCTGTCTGTTGCCAAAAGCAAAAATAGTGACCTTTCCCATTTCAGCCTCCGTTGTGAAGAATCTCTCGTTAAGCCGCCTCATCATGATATAGAGGTACTCTCATAATTATTGACAAGACATGATGAATCGTTGAAACTTCGCAGACGAAAGATCTATACTCAAGATATCCGATCGGCTACGTATTTCACCAGGTCTGT